GGTGTCTATACATGAAATATCGCTTCACAATGCACAAAGACGGCTGAATGCAGAGCGTCGATATTTTGTCGACGAGGCAATCCCTGATTGGTCCGGGAAAGAGTTGCTATTGAAGGTTCATCTAAGTTATGCGTTCGTCGACCTCCCTACGGACACCCCCTGGGATTTATATTCATGGTTGGGAAAATTGAAAGAATTAGTACGCAAATTCTGTGTGGAGTTTGACGCCCTGCAGGATAACTTCGATGTACTCTTTTAGGCGGATTTAGAACGGTTTTAAATGGATAAGGAGAATACAGTAGAAATCCACATAGATCAGCTTCAAAGACCAGAAACCCTTCTTACGTGGACTAGATCGAGGAATTAGGCTCATAGGCACCCATCAAGGTCGTTTGCGTCAGCGTACAGGTAATTTTTTTGTGTAAACTTGACGTGCGACTCTCACTGTACGATGTTCCATTCTGATGCCGTGGGACCAGCTACCCAGCTGTTGGCCACGAGTACCGTTACACTCAACAACCTCGTAGTCGAGATTCTGCTACATAACCGAGACTGTGAGAAGAGACTGCCCCAGTGGGTACGATAGCAGGAATAAAACGTTACAGTATTCTGTGATGAGAATAGAATTCACTGTGTGAGCGAGCGAATACGTGAAGAACTGTGGCAGAAGGTCACATCAAGATTCGTCAGCTTAACAACAAAATTCTTTAAAAAGTGCGGTAAAGTGTACAGTAGAATACGTATCCTAAGTGACTACTCTTAACTAGATAAAGTAATAGACGAAATGCAAGTGTCGAGACGGTCGGTGGCAAAATCCACGAAGAAGCGTTTTGGCACCACTTCATCCAAATTCGCTGCCTCTGATTGAATGCCCAAAACCCATACAAAACTGTGTAAGAGGTCAAAAAAGAGGTCGCGGCCAAGAGTAGAGAACCATGGTTTTCTGTGGCAAGATGTGAAACGCGACTGGGGTGAAATTAAAATGCACATTGATTTGTGATTGGACGAGGCAATATACAGGAAACAGTGGGTAAGAGGTCATCAAAACGGCCGCGACACTAGCTAGGCAAAATCCACGAAGAAGCGTGGTAAAACTTGAAACACTCCGCCACCACTCCGCCAAATTCCTCTGCCCATAATTGGATGCCCAAAAGCCATAAGAAATCGTGATAGGAGGTCATCAAAGCGGTCGCGGCGGTTCGTGAGCAAAATCCACGGAGAAACGTGGTAAAGCATGGTAGAACATGAAACACTCCGCCAACGTCCGCTGCGTCGTGATTGGATACCGAAAATCCACGAAGAAGCGTGGCAAAATGTGAAACACTCCGCCAACGTCCGCTACGCCGTGATTGGATGCCCAAAAGCCATGCGAAACCGTGGAAAGAGGTCGATAAGGAGGTCGCGACGGTTCGCGAGTAAAATCCATGAAAAAGCGTGGCAGAACATGAAACACTCCGCCAGCATCCGCCAGCATCCGCTGCCCAGGATTGGATGCCAAGAAGCCATACGAAACCGTCGGAACATTTCGCGTGAGTGGGTGTTCCTCTAGTCGTAATTTCATCGACTGTTCCTTCCTACGATCATGGTCCATATTCAGCCTAGTCTGATGACCCCAGAAGGGCCATTCAGACACGGTATCCTCCCGGCGACTAGTCCTGATCATTATCGCCCTTGCGGAAGACTTAAGTCATGGGAAAATCACTTTTTATTGGCTCGAATGACTGTAGAAGCACAACCTATTTAGTCATCGCTTGATTTGTTACTGAGGGAGTCCCTATCCGCTAGGATCTACACAGAGCTAACATCGATTCATGCGTAATCGTCGATCGGCTCCAGCATACCGTCAGAGAGCCCATCCGAAGTGAAGTGCCACGACAAGAAGACCTTCAGAGGCAATAAATGTGGCCTAGAAGCCTCGAAAACCCCCCAGTCCCAGTCGTCTTCCACAAGCTTTGCTGAAATTTGTGAACGGTTGTCTCTCCAAGCCCACGCAGCTTCATCAGCCATCGTGGTCATGTATTGATCGCATGCACCGAGTTGGCCCGGATTGTAGGTAGCGAACACATGTATCAGCTTAAGTAGCTCGGGAACTTGAGGTTAGGATCATCCACCATGGGTCAGATTGCTATGAGTATACAACGTGATTGAATTGCATGAACTTAACGTGAAATTCCAACTACACAGTGTCTCCATTCTGATGCCATGAACTCAGCTATCACGTCGTCAACCAGCAGGGAGCCCTGACTCTCCCAATCCTGAGGTCACGTCCAGATTCTGCCACCCAACTCTGATCTCTGCGCCCCTGGAAGTTGACCCAAGTACCGGAAATCCAGAGTAATCAAGCTCGCCTTCCCATTGCAGATTATATACCGAGCTCTGTGGGTCAAGACTGGCGACATATCGGTTGCGGCTCCCAGGTTTCCCTAAATGAGTTTTCAAATGGGCGCGAAGGTTGTCCTTGCGCGTGAAAGGCCTCTTGCAACCTGACACCCAGCATCTGTACACTGGACTGCCAGGTGTTTTATGAACAGTCGTCTCGTGCCGCTTGAGGTGATCGGCCCGGTTGAAACTACTCTGTTTTCCCGTCCGTCTGCTAAGGCAATTGAGATATCTGCAAACGTGTTTCTTGGCCAGAGTAGCCGTCACGTCTGCTGTGAAGGAGATGTTCGATACATTACTCTGCAGGACTAGATATTCTTCGTATATATTTGTCTGCCAGGGTAGAATGTAAGGTGTTAAGCCGGGAGCCACCATTGATTGTTGTTGGTTGGATGCGAAGCAGCGTAAAATATCGAGATTCATCAGATTGACATCACTTCGCAAATTTGGCGTCCATGGCGTCCAGGGTTGCATCTCCATGTGCATCGCCTGCGCATACCTCTCTTCAGGCGACAAGTGCGGAAAAAGACTGTTTTCTCCCTGGATACCTGGAACCATTGTTGATGAAAATGTCTGCTCGGCGTCCATTTCCAAGAGCCGTTCTAGCTCGGAAGGCCGAGTATCCTTATAGCAATGTCGCAGCGTACCCTTGACGGACAACACTGTAATAAGATCTGGGCAATTGTCCTTCCTAGATCTAGTGAAGTTATGTTCCGTACATATTTGTTGTTAAAGTAGGCCTCACATGACATACGCACTGCACATAGATAGTCACGGACTGTTGTCTTCAAGTACCGTGCGTTACAGTATCTGTAGATATCCAACCATATTGCCACTACTCAATTGTAACCAAAGGCAATGGGAGGACGGAACCACTGAGCCAGTCTAGGATACCAATAGGACATGTAGATAAGCCTTGTTTTATGTTATCCTCGATATTGTGAGGAATTTGAGCTCTAGTCTTTGACAGATGTCAACACCACAACTAACGGTGTATACATGATCTGCAGTAAAGGAAAATAAAAGGCGAGTAAAAGCAAGGATGATCAAGACCGGCCTCATACTGCAGGGACTTTGGTCAACAGCGGAAATGGCGAAAACTTACAAAAAATGTCAAAATAGACTTTGGATATTTAACAATCATCGAGGTAGGTACAGTATTCTACTCGAACCGAGAAATTAATTTCTGTTAACGGTCTACAGACTGGCTCAAGCACAAGAGATCGAAGTCTAGAAAGGTCACGTCGAGGGAGTCGGCTGGTACTGTACTAGATGACTGCATTTGATCTGCGAAGATTTATCCAGAGGAACTCGAGTTTAAGAAGAGCAGAACCAGTGCTAGATCAAGTGTAGATGTCCACAAGTATTTCGATGTCGCATTTTGCACTGTGACACACTATTACTGCCAATTAGAGGGTACACATCGATTTATTTATTCATTACATCATAGTCTATCCCCTAAAGATTGGTGATCTCTTACCAAAGAAACTTGTGGTTGTTTCTACCCTGGACATTACGTAAAAGGATACTATGGGTGTCTGCTACACATAGGATCTCATGGTCACAGTACTGATCTTCTTGCTAAGATGAGCAGAAATCCTATTACGTTTAAAATTCTTGAACAGCACAGTACTATACCGTACCGTACAAAAGGCGAGATTTGCAATTATGTCGGTACAACCTTCTGTTACAAGTCAATCAGAGAGCCATCCAGGCGACGAAATGCCCGTGCCGCCTCCATATGAGCAGGAAAATCAAGTGCCACCCTTGGCTGGAATCGAGGAGCAATGTTGCAACTTTGGCCTTAACTGCGAATCGTACTTCATGTCAACTCAAGTCCTGATGGACGTCAAGTTATTCTTCGGCACACAAAACTCTCAAAACCAGGTCAGTTGGACTCAATACGGCACAGGCTTCCGGATCTCGGTCGCGAATGAAATGTACACTAAGCACGCATTCATGAGCCAGTTGATTGGCTGTATGAAGTCGAGGTATTCGGCGCACTCGGAGATGGAAAAGTTCTCGAACCTCACATTTGAATTGTCAGCACGTGAATCCGACATCGACAACGAGACCATTTTCGATGTCACCTGGTTTGGAGAAACCCACCCGGAGTGTGTCTTAAGACACTACGGCTTTCAAGCAAATAATCCTACAAGTGATGGGCAGTGGGATGGCGAACTTGGTCCGCACGTCTGGCAAATTGCGGTATTTGCTCATGAGAGTTCGGAATCCTCACCATGGGGCTTAAAGAGTCATCTGCAACCTGGGAAAGCTTTACAGTCGTTTACACTAAAGAGGTCCTCCAAACGCCGAAACGATAGATTGGCTCAAAGACTATATCGCATCCTACGAGCAAATACTAGAATGTTCAAGGGTAAGTTAAGGCATCCCAGAGGTTTCAGAAATCTATCACGAAGCTAGAATCTAGTTGTGTGTTTCTTCCTCTATCGTTTTGAAACTAGTTCAGAAGCTCTGGTGCCTGCTGTGTAGACTAGAACAGGGAAGGAAGATACTGTCATGTTTGTCGTGAAAGAAATTTCGAATAAACGAGACAAAAGTCCCTGACTCGAAATACTACATGGTTTCTGGCTTTGTTACATCAACACAAGCACTGTGGCATGCCGATACTGCCAAATGATGACGTTAAGCGCCAAAGTACCGCACCTTTATACTCTAGCTCACATGTACCGTATTTTCTCCTCGATTTCAAGTCCTAACTTTTGATCTTGTAGCGCTATGCTGCGTTCACCCGCCCTTTTCACAATAGCACTCGCACTGCGTTGGTGTTTCAGAGGCGTGATATTGTATTTCTGATGCATGGCTCATGAATTTTGAGGACGTTGGAATTCAGACTACCCTGCCCTGTTCTTGCTATGTACCCTATGGATTGATAGGTTCGAAGAACCAGACTCAGCTGGACCTAGAGTTGGGAGGAATCGAGTCGATCTTCGACATCCTCCCACACTGCCCACCACCTCCAAATATCCTTCTCCCATCCTGATTCAAGCCTCGCAACGCCGGGCCGGCCAAGCACATGAGACAAATTTCCTTCTCGATTCTCCCACCACGTCAGAACTCCCGGACTAGGGACCCAAGAACGGACTGTATAGTCTCGGTTTCGAAACGGACCTGGTCCTCCAGGAGCAGGAGCATTCCAAAACTGCGGGGCCCTGTTATGAGAAGGTCCTAGCTCGACCGTGAGGCATGGAGGCTGCCAGAATCTGTGCACCATTAGAATAGACGAGGATCGAACGGACCTAGGCGTACTGATTCTGACAGATCAAGACTGAAGGATAATGCAAGCTGGGTAATATGCTGTGCTGTAATATTTGCTCGCTAGTAAAACTCGATACTGCGGCGCAGGTCAATGGAAGGCCCCACATTATCTCGAAGACTCGCATAGTTTGCGGTGATGCTGCGAAGCACTTGCAAAATTTGTTTCAGATGTATGAGAGATCCTGTGCAGTGAAAAATGTAGGCGGTTGTTGTGGCGGTAAGCGCAGTATTTATATCTGTCGATCCCAGGAATCCCCACCCGGTCTAACCCACAGGTTTTAGTGGCATCCGATGGGTACTCGCTCAAGTTCTCTTTTGGGCGTCAGCTTCAAGACCTTTAATCATGGTTCTGATTTGTTTATGCTTGTCCCGGCGGTTGTGCGAGTTGGTGAAACATCGAGGGCGCTTCATGGTCGATCATGCAGAACTCGGAGGGGAAACAGGCCAGCGGCTATTTAGCATACAATTATTTACGTTCAAGATGCTGTACAGTACTGTACGAAACTACCGCATGTGGCTCCACGAATGGTGATTAGATCGATCAAATCTGATGGCTTCAAACACCTCGGGAGAAAGCCTACCGTCGCGCGAATTCACCACATTAGTCAGCCCAGATGCAAATAATCGTAGTTTTCTACATACCGTACATTTTGTTGATTTACATATGGTATTGAGGCTTTCCTGCAAATCCAAACCTCCTTCAACTCTATGTTCTCGGGGATAAAACCTTGCAGTCATCTTGGTAGGGTCCGTAGAATCTGACCTTGTTCATATCGTACTTGGTATCAAACCAACTCGCGACTTCAGTGGACATATAACTTGCAGTCGGTGTAGCTGAAACAATTTTCTGAATGTCCCGATGAGGTTTGTATTCATCGTAAATGTCTGGATCGTATCTTCCTGTCCAGGTAAATGTATTGAGGCTGAAAACGTCCACAGTGGTGTTATAAGTTGGAGGGGTTTCGCCGACTCCCGTGCCACCAACAACAATCATCTGGTCAGGATACGGCGTCACACAGACATGATTTTGCCTTGCGCCACCTGTACGCCCAGGGCTGGATGCTTTGACCCATGTGAATGACGGAACTGTCAAGATCCAGACAGCATCTTGCGCTTGCCCTCCATTGCTATCCCAGCCTCCATAAACAAAAATCTCGTGATGGGAACTATCAGGGCTTGACGCCACAACGGTGCAGAATTGTGCAAGAGGTACATCCGGTACTGGAGAGTCTTCATTGAGCATCTGCGTACTCCAAGTATCAGAGCCTATGTCGTAGATGGGAAATTGTTGTAGATAGGTTATGGATTGGGTGTAATTGTCGTGGGGAATTTCAAAGTTCATATCCGCTGGCTGTATAACTCCACCGATGACAACCAGTATGCCCGCCGTCGATGTTGGCACCCACACGAGTCCACTCTCGCTTCGCCAGGAGGAATTCCCATTCAGTGGCGTCTTCGACCAAGTTGCATGCCCAAGTTCTGACATATCAACAGTTATCAGCCAGTTGCTTTGGTTTTTAGGTTGATTGAAGTAGGAATATGCCGCCTCACTGTCATTACAGAATCCGCCAAAATAGAAGCTGCATCGCTCGCTGGGAGCGTTGGCTCCAGCTCCGTTTGTGACAGTAATGAAAGACCCATTCTGTGGTTTATAGGTCACGTCAGGTAGACCAAGTGACGCATTGGCAGAGTGAGTATCATCATACAGGACCATGCTCACCGTGCGCGTGCTAGCGTTTTGGGAGACCACGGTCATACCACTGATTTAATCATTAGCGGTGTCCTCTCTTGACGCGAAATTAAATACCCCCATGCATAGAACTCTTCATCATCAGCGAACATATAGCCATCGAGGTAGTAGTTCTTGACACCGCCTTCCGGAATCTGTTCGAACCAGGCGGGTGGGTCTTCTGCCCGTGTGCCGAAAGAATTGTGCAGGCTGAGCTTAAATAGCATCCCATCTGAAGGACTGACCGTGGCTAGCGACTCCAAATCCCATGCGCCATCTTTCCAGGTTCCGGTCTGCATCCATCCACCCTCTAGGTAAATGTTATCCCTAATTAAGGCTGCCCGAGGCCTATCCCAGTATGCGATCTCATGCGATGTAAAGTTACATACAACTTCTTTGAATAGCATGTACACCCATGCGGTAGATTTTTTAGAAAACAACATCATGCAGAATTCTTCTCGTCGAGGACGATAAGTTCACGGCACTGCACAGTACTGATCGTGAAGCATGAAGAGGATAACAGATTGGGTGTTCATCCTTTCAAGACAACAATATAGATTACCATGTTATTTGCAGGCTTTACTCTTCAGTAGGGTAAAGGTGGGGCCCAGCTTCCCGATATTCCCAATATCTGAGGAAGAAGATTCCATTATAATCAGTGGTCAAGGCTTGTACTGTAGATTAGCCCAAATAAAGTAATGTATTTCACCATTTTCCACGTTGACCGGCGCATCGGAGATCACTGTTTTTACAATGCTATTTCCTTGGCCCTTTCGTCGCAAGGCTTTACAAGCATCTACACAAAAAGCGCAGCAGGACTTACCCAATCGCCTCCTAAGTCAACTGTTCATCGACTCAGAAAAGAATGGATGGCTACCGTTACAGTACTCAAATCAGCATCTGGACCTAATTTTATGGTGGTTGGGAAGGACCTCGAACATTACACTCATGTGGCCGAGCTTGGCATTAACAACTACAGTACCTAATACTAGTCGTCATAAACAAACCATTTCCTGCGCCGGGATTCTTTCAACTGGAATTTTTTTGACTCGTTGAAGCCACATACGCGAATA